CTGTCTCCTCTACTGTTTAGGGGCTCGCTCCCTTTGAATCACTCGGTGAACCAGGTGTATCTGACCATGCCCGTCCAGTATATAGGTAGATGTGCTCCTAGCAGTTCAAACTAGGCCGCCTCCCACTCCTCCATGTCTGTATCAAGAGGGGTCGGATCATCCCCATATATCTAAGCCGGTGATCATGGCGAAGTCGTAAGGAGTCATCGTCATCTCTCCAGTGGTGGAAAAATAGGAGTTTGTGGTGTCTCACCATCTCTCCACGAGCGCTTCTAGGAGAGGACAGCTCGCGACGACCCGAGTCAAGCCAGAGCAGAAAAGATCGAAGCTAGCCTCGTCTATGATGTCGTAAACTCCAGCGGGGAGCTCGTCATACCAGTCTCGAGCGGTCGTAGCACTATATCCTTTGAAGGCATGAGACTCACCCTGTGGCAAAGAATGGGTTAATTAGATAAAAGACAGATGAATTAAATAAAAGACAGATGAATCAGATATAAGGCAGTGCATGAAATGCAGTCAGATAAAGGCAGTGCAAGAAATGTAAATAAAGAAAGGCAAAATACATGAAACAAGAGTTCATACCTCAACGGCAATGGCCAACAAGTGAGAATTCGGCTCCCTCAATAGAAGGTCCTCCGGTGCGCCTCGAGCAAACTCAGTAAAGCGTCTGATGCCTCCGTTAGCGGGCAATGTATATGTCTGAGGGTGATATCTCTCTGGATCGAAAGGCCGTACCCTCAGTGGTAGCAGCTCTAGTTCAGCCTCGGGCTCGAACTCTACCTTCAGGTCGGCCTCAAGGTCAGCTGTTAGCTTTGCTACTTCAGGAACTGGTGGAAATACCGGGGGAGTCTCTAGAAGAGCCCCCTTTTGTGGTATATTATCCGCCATCTGGAAAAAGGCACGAAATAGGTGAAAAGGTGAAGAAAAATGCTGAAAAGAGGGCAAACTCAGAAAAAGTCAACCCTAGGAGAGAGAAAATGGAAGAAAAAGTTAAAGCTGGGAAAAGTGCACAGAACCTGAGAGAAACTCGAGGAAAACAAGCCTAGAATGGTGAAAGTGAAGGGAAAGGCGCCGAGATCAAATTTCAATTGGTTCAAAGTGAAGGAAACAAAGAGGGTTTAGTGATTAAAGTTTGCGTGAGGCACTGGAAAACGCGTAGAAAGCGCAAATCTAGAGTGGAGTGTCTAGAGATAGATGGAGGAAGATTTCGGATATGGGGATGTGAGGAAATGAGCCCTAGTGGCTTATATTTAAAGACCCAAGTTGAAAAGTCCCTTTTGCCCCCGAACTACCATCGTTGGCCGGCAGGTAGCCGGTATGGCTCACTGGTGGTCGACAAGGCTCACAAGTGGCCGGCCGGGGGCCGGTGGCCTCCCTTGGGGTCTTGATGCTGTTTTGTGTCCTTGGTTTCCAAGAAGTGTAAGGACAGTTCACTGTTTGGTTCAGATCGTCTCTATGGAAGCTCAAAACGGTGTTTTCGTTGCATGATGTTCGTTGCTTGTCAACATAAGCGAGGTGTATCCTTTAAACATATTGTAACTCTTCCGAGAGATAAATCGGAAGTTACCGTGCGTGAATATGCATTTCCCCATTGGTGCATGAATATGCATTTCCCCGTTGGTGCATGGATTTGCATTTCCCCGTTATTGCATAAATATGCATTTCACGTTGTTGCACGTATATGTACTTCACGTTATTGCATGAATATGCATTTTGCTTCTTTGCGTAGAACATGCATTTTGTATATGTTGTTACATAAAACATGCATTTCACGCATATCGTATGCGCGTCTTTCATCCGTTATGAATCATGCATGGAACATGCATTTGTTCTTGAATTATGCATAGAACATGTTTTCGCTCTTGAATCACGTATAGAATGTGCTTATGTTTTTGTATCTTGGTTATTTGTCTTGTATAGAACGTGCATTCTTACTGTATCGCACTTGTTAAGTTTCTTTCTTATATAGACACGATATTGTATGTACGGTTCATTCAGAGGAATTCTAGGTAAAATTATTTGTGCCGTATTCAGATTGCATCTTTTTTTCCAATCGGTTAAAAACATTCTTGTACGCCCGGTGTTCACACCACTCTTTCTCCTCTCGCGTGAGACGCGTTAGGATTGCAAATCGGTTAAAAACATTCAGGTGCGCCCGATGTTCACACCACCTCTCCTCATATCGCGTGAGACGCGTTAGGATTGTTTGCATTGGTTAAAAATATTCGGGTGTGTCCGATGTGCACACCATCCTTTCCTCTTCATGCGTGCAACGCGTTAGGATCTCAGTTGAGACCTCGGGTGTGCCTAACGGTTATGTCGCTCTTCGCCTTTCCTGCGCAACGCGTACTTAAGCTTGCATAATTTTCTTTCATCCTTTCTGCATGAAATGTGGTTTGGCTCGTGATTCCCACACGTGGCGGGTTTATTTACTTACTTCCTCACATAAATGGAATTGTTGTGCCTTATTTCAGTTTGTTTAACTGTGGCATTTTCTTTGCATTGCATTTGCATTCAAATGTTTCGTTGTACAGTCTCATTGCATGATCATAAGTTATGTTCTTGCATTCTGCATATCATTTGCATTTTGCCACAGAATTACGCTGGTTTGATTTATTGTAAAGGGATACGCAGGCAGCCTGCAGGCGCAACCGTTTATTATTGTCTTAATTATTTGTCCAAGTCTTGCGGCTTTGTCAAAATGGGTTGTCTCTGGGTTTTGACATTCACTCACGTCATTTCATGATTTCAAGTTCTGTCAAAGAAGGGCAATTGTAAACATCCCATTTTTTATGGTCCTTACGACTTGGATGTCTTTGCAGGTACACCCAATGATAAGTCTGTTTGCTCATCAAGCGCTCGAAGTCCTCAGCGGAATGCCATGACTTTGAGCTTCTCTCATCCTCTATCTTTTTTGTCCCACTTTTGGATCATGCCTTGGTCTTTCTAGCCTGCAACCTCTAGTGGTCTGCTGGCCATCCCTAGAGGTTGCCGGCCCTCACTTTTGTTTTCTGCAGATATTTTATGTCAGTTGTGCTAACTGTTTGCACAGATGCATGCATTTCTCCACACATAGAGGGCTGGATCTCTTTGTAGAAATTTCATATTTTCTATATATAGGGACTCCCTCTCTCGTGTTTAGAGGTAGAAAATTTTAGACTCAAAAATTTTCCTCTATACAATTCTCTCTCTCTACAAATTCTCTACACTTTTGCCTACTTACACTACACTCTTGCCTATACTTCCTTATAACCAAATCCTTTCACCTTTGAGCTGAGGTTCCTTGAGACCTTCTTGGAGCTCTTGAAGTTGGTTTTGGCTTGAATTGTTGCTTAGAGTTACTATTTTCTTCAAGAGGTATAATACTTGCTTTATTAGCTTGCTTTGCATACTTGTCTTTTTATCTTTTTTCCACTGTTTTGGGCTGTTTTTGTGGACTAAAATTGGTGTTTTTGGCCATTTAAGGTTAGGAGGGTGGTTCACCTCTCTTCATTCCTTGTTTATAAGGCCATTTTACCTTTGTTTTTCATTTTCAAATCATCTTTTTTGGGGCCTTTAAACACTAATTTTCAAAGTATTTTCAGTGGTAAAAATCAGGTTTTGAAGTCTAAATTTGGAGGAGTTAGCCTCTCCTCTTTGTGTCTTGTTTGCTAGTCTAGTTAGCTCTATATGTTAGCTTATTTTTCTAGCTGCTTGTAGCTTTATTCCAGCATACTTTAGGCTCTATTTTGAACTGTTTTAACTCCGTTTTGGGTTGGTTATTGCATTTGAGTCTTATATTGCATAGTTGAAGCGCAATAGTCCTCACAAGCTTAGTGTTTTAGGCCTTTAGACACCACTTGTTTGAGTTGATTGCATGTTTTTGGTGTTTTTTGCACTTAATTTCGGCACTAATCATCTCTGCAACCTCCCTCATTTCTTGGCTTTTAATTTTGCTTTGAAAGTGGTTTTAAGTCACTTGCTCGCCTAAGTGTGAAATTGAGGTTTTATACTTAATGGTTTAATTCCTTAGGGTGTTCATTACCAACGGTATGATACTTCTTTCATACATAAAGCAACTTGTGTTTTGAACCCTCTTTTCATTAGAGGACTTTAATTCACCTTTGGACTTAATTTGATTAAAGGATGGTTGGTAAGTTAAAATGAGTAACTAAAACTCGGGACTAAAAGTGAGCAAAGATAAGAATTTGGTTGTATTTTGATGTGTTCAATCGGACGTTAATTGAACACATAGAACTTGAACCATTTCATACTTGCTAGTGATGAAATGATTCAAGTCTTCAATTATTAGGCCTTCAGTTCATAACCAGATCCTGTTGGCTAATAGCCCACTTTTCACCTTATCAAACAAACTGGAGCATGTTTGCATTGGTGGGTCTCAAAACCATCCCACTCCTTTCCTTTACACAACCAAACCAAACCAAACCAAACCAAAAGTATCCAAACTAACAATTGACAACTGATTTTACTACATAGTCATTATTACATTCATCACACACACACACACTCACTCTCTCTCTCTCTCTCTCTCTCTCTCCTGATTTTACTACATAGGCATTATTACATTCTTTTTTTGGGTGAATAAAAAGAAGCAACATTATTACATTCATTCTGTCTCTCTCTCACTGTGGTTTTTGGGATACATTGCACTGCATGAATTTGAGTTTATGAAACATCCCATCGGACAACTTAGGAAACTTGAGCAAGAACTTCAAAAAGTATGTTTGATTGAAAACAAAAGCGAACTACCTTGGCAGAATTGAAACTGCAACCAGTTCTAAGGTCCTCGCCAAAATGCCCATAATTTTCTTCTAGTAAAACATATTTTAAAAATTTTGATCGAAAGTAACAATTAATAGAGAACATATGTATAACCAACCCAATACCATATTTTAAAAATGTTCCTGTTTTCTCTCTATGATTCTTCACCATGTGAGGTGGAACAAAGAAACCTTCCTTATTCTATGATTGCCAACCTAACCCCTCATTCTTTGTTGCAGGGATAACCAATACCACTGGCAATTGCTACAATTATAACAATCCCAATACCATCCGCAAGGAGAGAGATCAATATCTCAACTTTGACACTGTTCATCCCACTCAAGCAGCTAACTATGTTTTTTCGTTGAATTGTTTCGGTGGAACACTTTGCAGTCCACTCAATATCAGGACTCTTGTTGGAGCTCAACTCAGCGGGAGCAGGGTCACTGCTGTGCAGTGTTCCCTGCTGTGCCTAGAACGGCACGATTTTAGTCTCTTTTTTTTTTTTTTTATGTTCTCACTATGGTTTTTGATGTGATAAATTACACTTTTTTTAATTTTATTTTAGGATTTAGGATTTAATTCTTAAAATTTATTTTTTTTTATTTTAAGGTTTAGGGTTTATAATTTAATTCTTAATTTTTTTTTTATTTTAAAGTTTAAGGTTTAATTTTTTTAATTTATTTTTTTATTTTAGGGTTTGGAGTTTAGGGTTTAATTATTAATTTTTTTTTAATTTTTATTTCAGGGTTTATGGTTTAAGGTTTAAGGTTTATGGTTTAATTCTTAAAATTTATTTTTTTTATTCGAGGGTTTAGGATTTAGGGTTTATGTTTAAGGTTTAATTTTTATTTTTATTTTTATTTTAGGGTTTAGGGTTTAGTGTTTAGGATTTAATTCTTAAAATCTAATTTTTTTATTTTAGGATTTAGGGTAAAGTGTAATTTATCATGCCAAAAAACATAGTGAGAAGATGAAAAATAAAAAATAAAAAAAAAAACAAGGATGAAACTGTGCCCGTTTTAGGGGCAAAAAAAAATGATTAAAAGGTGCCGTTTGAAATCACGGTAGGCACAACAGGGACCGCAACACAGAAGGGACCCCGCCTCCATCCCGAAATGACACTCAGAATAAAAGCTTGGCCATGCGCGGATTTGAGTTCTGAAACTCAGAATAAAAGCTTTTAAACATGGCACATGGCCAAACTTCTAAAGATGGCCAAGCGGATTACCAAATGAATGAACATGTCACATGGCCAAGCTTTTAAATCTACACATTTACACAGCTATATTAAATCTTCCTCCAACCTCCACGTGCTCTGTTGCTACTTCCCCTGAATTGGATTTCCCAACCTCCACGTGCTCTGTTGCTACTTCCCCTGAATTGCATTTCCCAACCTCCACGTGCTCTGTTGCTACTTCCCCTGAATTGGATTTCCCAACCTCCACATGCTCTGTTGCTAGCATTAACCTAGAAACTCATAATAAAAGCTTGGCCATGTGCGGATTTGGGTTCTGAAACTCAGACTAAAAGCTTTTAGACATGGCACATGGCCAAGCTTCTAAAGATGGCCAAGCGGATTACCAAATGAATGAACATGTCACATGGCCAAGCTTTTAAATCTACACATTTACACAGCTATATTAAGTCGCCAGAGTATTCTGAACGTCATTGGAAGTCTCTGGAATGTCCAGAACGTCAATGGACGTCAAAAATATCACTAGAGACTCATCAGAATGTCTAGAATATTGTCGGGAAAAAAACAAAAAGAATGAATGGAGAAATTAGAATGAAAAAACATAACAAAATATGCTAAATATTGATAAACTGAAAGAAAGAAAAAATGTACCGAGATACAGCAAAAATGAGGGGAAAAAAAAAAACATTAGTTATTTTTCATTTTTTTAGAGTTTTAGCAAATAATCTCATATATTGATTAAACTAAAAAGCATGCTTTGAAACAATAAAATTTACTTCAAATAAAATTATTTATATTTCTCACATCATATTACAATATAAATTAACACCAATAAATTAAAAAATAATCAAAATTTACAAACAAAAGTCAAAATATCTCAACCGTTTACAATTTGATAAATTTATGAATTTCATTATCAATACGAAATAATCATTCTACAAATATAAAACACATTAAAAAATCTCAAAATTTTATCATTATTAAAATGATAAACAAACACATTAAAAAAATCACACAAGACTTAAAATTAAATAAATCTATTCAATAAAATTAGCGAGTAATTATCTTTATGTTACTTGGGCAAATTATACCGGTGGCATTTATATTTTATTCCTTGTGTCATTTTGGTCTTTACATTTCAATTGACTCAATTTTGACTATTAATTTTAGATTTTGCATCAATTTGGTCCAATTGATAATATCGTTAGTGTTTTCTAAACAAAAAATTATCACTAAATTTGTTAAGGCTAACTCAGTGAGTTTAGTAAGTTTATAATTTTGCCTTTAAAAATATGACACATGACACTTATGTACATATTTTTTATTAAAAAATACTAAACGTTATAAACAATTGGGTCAAAATGAGACAAAGTTATAAATTTAAAATCAAAATCGAACCAATTTAAATTATAAAAATAAAAATGACACAAAGATCAAAATATAAAAACAGCTGCCATAATTTGGCCAGGTTAATTTTATCTTTCTTATTTAAGTAAGTTTTTTTTTTTGAACAAGTAAAACAAGAGGCAAACAGAACCTAAACAAAGAAAACATCTAGGCCAATGCTAGCAACGGAGCAAGAGCAGGGGAAGCCGACCACGCAGAAATTCTTGGGCTACCCAATGTGCTGCTGCATTTGCTGTTCTTGGACTCCATTTGAAGGAGAAATTTCCTTGAATAGCCAATCTCTTGATATCATCAAACACAGCCCCACACTCCCAAGGAGGAACCTTTTCAGAGACACACATGGATGACTCAAATCCGCACATGGCCATGTGCCATGTTTAAAAGTTTTTATTCTGGGTTTCAGAACCCAAATCCGCACATGGCCAAGCTTTTATTCTGAGTTTCATTTGGGGATTTGGGTTGTGAGAATGTTTATTCATTGTTCTTGGCCTTGTTGGAGGAAGATTTAATAAATCTGTGTAAATGTGTAGATTTAAAAGTTTGGCCATGTGCCATGTTCATTCATTTGGTAATCCGCTTGGCCATCTTTAGAAGCTTGGCCATGTGCCATGTCTAAAAGCTTTTATTCTGAGTTTCAGAACCCAAATCCGCACATGGCCAAGCTTTTATTATGAGTTTCTAGGTTAAAGCTAGCAACAGAGCATGTGGAGGTTGGGAAATCCAATTCAGGGGAAGTAGCAACAGAGCACGTGGAGGTTGGGAAATCCAATTCAGGGGAAGTAGCAACAGAGCACGTGGAGGTTGGGAAATCCAATTCAGGAGAAGCCGACCACGTAGAAATTCTTGGGCAACCCAATGTGCTGCTGTGTTTGCTGTTCTTGGACTCCATTTGGAGGAGAAATTCCCTTGAATAGCCAATCTCTTGATATCATCAAAAACAGCCCCACACTCCCAAGGAGGAACCTTTTCAGAGACACACAGATGGATGACTTATTCAAGTAAGACTGACACCCACCAAACCAGTCCTCCACTGCTATCTCTGCATGTTAGAAGAAGCTTTATATATCTTAAATATTGGAAATAAGACTGCCATTTTAGCATACTGAGTGACATTGATTTGCTTTTATGGATTACAGGTTTTGGATATAATCATTGTGGGAGGATGAGGGTAGCTTATTTCACATGCAGATAACAACAAACATATTTATAAGTTACAGAAGACATCCTATTTTACCAAAGAAAAAAAAGGCAACCAACAACTAAGAAAATGAATAAAAAATAGATGTGTGATTTATCTAATTGTCATAGAATTTCCCATTGTTATATAGTGAAGACTGATATATGAAATGAATATCAACCATCCATTCATCATTCTTTCTAAATAATATTTTTATAGATAAATTTTTTGAGTCCCTAGTATTTCTGTATAAGTTACAATAGTCATGTAATATATAAAGAGTAATAATATATAATTAACAAAAAATTTATATAGAACTTTCATAAAAATTTCAATATAAATCTTTCACTTTTAAACAAAACATCCATAAAGATATCATTTTTATAAAAAAAAAAATTGTATTAATTTTAATTTTTATAAACATCCATAAATTAACTTTTTGTATCGAAAAATATCCTTCCAAGTTCCAACAAAGTAGCCAAAAGATCATTTTGTGTTGTGAGGTTGTGGGTCTAACTTTTATATATAGAAGAGTTCGATAGTTTTTGTGGTATTTATTTTTTCCTGTTATGAGAGTTGTATTTTTTTTTTTTTCCTTCCAAATTTTGGTTATGATTGTTGGGTTTGCTGACTGTTGGAATTCTAGCTACTTTGGGCATTAAACGTTCATCGTGTTAAAATTTGACACGATAATATATAACACATTCACTATAACAAATTAAAGTTTTAGAAATAAAAATTTAGTGATCAAATTATCTTTTAAGGACGAAATATATTAGTTTCTAAAAGTGTCGTTATTGTATTTTTAGCGAAATTGAACATTTAATAACGAATTACTTTCTTTTTTGGACCAAAATTTTTTATCTAAAAAAATAAACTTTTGTCACAAAATTATTTTATCCACAAAAGTTTATTTATTAGCGATATTTTTAAAATTTTATTATTATAGGCCCTTTTTTGACTTTTCTGCACAGCCCCATTTTTAATATTTCATTTCGTAATATATTTTTTTTTATCACTTTTTGAGGTTGAAAAAGTTTGATCATTAAAGGCCTCATAAGTTTCAGCTGTTAAAATTGCTTTTGTTATGATTGTTATTAAACTTTTTCATATGTAAAATTCTATTCATACATAAAATTAATACAAATTTTTTTATAAAAATGATATCTTTGTGGATGTTTTGTTTAAAAGTGAATGATTTATATTGAATTTTGTATGAAAATTCTATATAAATTTTTTGTTAATTATACATCGTTACTCTTTATATATTACATGACTATATTGTAACTTATACAGAATTCCAGGGATCAATATTTATCTATAAAAATATTATTTAAAAAGAACAATGAATGGATAGTTGATATTATGTAAGCCTTCACTATATAACAATGGGAAATTCTATGACAATTAGATAAATCACACATCTATTTTTTTATTCATTTTCTGAGTTGTTGGTTGCCTTTTTTTCTTTGGTAAAATAGGATGCCTTCTGTAACTTATAACCCCATTCTGGTGCCAAATTTATTCTACAAATGCTGTTTTTTATGGTATGATAAATATGTTTGTTGTTATCTGCATGTGAAGTCAGCTACCCTTATCCTCCCACAATAATTATATGCAAAACCGGTAATTCATAAAAGCAAATCAATGTCACTCAGTATTCTAAAATGGCAATCTTATTTCCAATATTTAAGACTAGCGTATGTCCGTATTTGAAGACACGGTGTAAATAATGTTGCGATCAAAATACATTTGTAATTCATACGTATCATATTAAAATTTATAAAGTCTGTAATATTTTTTGACAAAAATATTGGAAAAATATTTTTAAAAAAATACTATTATTTTCAATAAATTGTAACAATTTTACTTGTATCACACGCTTTATAAAACTCGAATAAAATAACAACGAAATAACCCAAAACTCAGGTGATGCAGCCCACAGAGAAGCACCGAAATACTCCCACTGCTGACAAACAAATAATTATTCTGTTGTTTATACCGATTGATATATATCTACCAAATAAATAATTATTATGTTGTTTAAGAATTTCAATTTAGTAGTTTATTCAACAAACAATAAAGCTAAGATTCTAAAAATAAAAATAATAATAAATAAAATATTGTGATTTCTCAAATGTCGTGAAATTTTCGGACCCCTTTCCCTGGTTGGTGATGGGTCACCCAAAGCTTTTTTTATCAAATTTATTGACTTAAAATAAATTTTGTAGATTTAAAATGTAATTTATCAAATTTATTGACTTTGAAATGAATTTTGTAAAAGTGCCCAAACATAAATACACCCCAATAAAATTAAAGTAAAAATTAAAAAATATAATTTATTATAAGAATTTGAAGTCAAAATTCTATTAATAAAAAAACTCTTTTCAGTTTTTGAACAAATCACACCACTCCCATTATTTCACCTCTCTTTCTCAAAATTCACTTTTATGATCATTTTTTTACACAACCCAATTTAAACCTAATTTAAATTTTGAGTTCAAATTTATTTCACCTCTCTTTCTCAAAATTCACTTTTATGATCATTTTTTTAACATAACCCAATTTAAACCTAATTTAAATTTCGAGTTCAAATTTATCTACACACACACACACAAAAAAATTAAACATTTTCTACATAAACATAACTCATAAACTCAATTTTCATACAAATTTAAATTCACCATTTTTTTTAACAGAACTCAATTTAAACTCTCATTTAAATTTTGAGTTTAAATTTATCCAAAAAAAAAAACCAACATTTTCTACAAACATTTTCCAAAAAGATTGGATTTTCTTTTAAAAAAATTAAACCCACTTTTTTTTGTGTGGCATTGTGTTGGGTGACCCCCTAACCTCCACTCATTCTCCCTCTCCATCTTCCCCACTTTCTCTCTCTAATCCCTGGGTCTATCTTTCTCATTCTCTCCTCTTATAGAAAATCAACACCCATTCTCTCTCTTTCTCAGTTTTAATGTTTAAAAAAATAAATCTTAGAAAAACAAATAGAAACACAAATCTTAGAAACACAAATCAAATTGATGTATATCAAGTGTGATTCCATTGAATATATGAATTAAGATTTAGAAAACACAAACCCAAACATATACAAATCCAAACCCATTTCAGAAACTCATCTCTCTTGCGGTCAAATATAAGTACAGGTCCGGTTTCGACTTTCAAATGTCTTTTTATAAAATTACCCATATAAAAATGCACTCAATAAAATTATAGTAAAAACTGAAAAAATAATTTATTATAAGAATATGTCTCATGAGTTTTGTCACCGAAGTGAGTAAAAAAGTTCAGTTAAAAAAAAACTCTTTTTTTAGTCTTTAAACAAATCACACACCCTCATTATCTCCTTCTCTTTCTTACTTGTCTTGTGAAAAGATTATATTTTAACTGAACTCAATTTAAATTTTGAGTTCAAATTTGTCGAACCCAAAAAAACATTTTCTATAAAAACAACATTTTTCACATAACCTTTTTTTTTTTTTGAAAATGATAGTGTTACTTTTTTCAATAAATAAACATTTCTAATGATACCACTTTTTTTTTTCTTTTTTTTTTTTTTTTTTGAAAATGATAGTTACATTTTTTAATAAATAAACATTTATAATAATGTTACATTCCTTAGTAAACGGAAACATTTTTTTTATTTTTTTATTTATTTAAATTTTAGATTTGGCTATTTAAAAATAAAAAAAAATAATAAAACAAATTCAAATGTGCTTTTCCTACTCAAATCTGGACCGTTGGATCAATGCAAAGTACATCTCAACTCCTCTCTGCCTATTATCCCTCTCTCTAACTATTCTCTCTCCAAACCGTTTATTTCCTTTGTTTCATCTTCCTCTTTAATGGTGGTGGACACTGCGGAATGGACAGTGGCGATGAGCCGCAATGAGTCCCTACTTTCATTCATACTTTTTCTATTTTTTTCTTCACTCTATTTTCTCTCAAATTTATCAGCTTATAGCTTATAACTTTCAGCTTAAGCTGATTTCCAGTTTATTCTTAAAGCATCTCCTGCCCCACTTAAAGAATAAGTTGTTTTCTGACTTCCACAAAGCTATAAGCTATAAGCTATAAGCTAAACCAAACAAATCAAAATAGCTTAAATTAAGCTGAAAGCTGAAATAAGCTGAAATTAAGCTGTACCAAACAGGGCCTTTGTCAGATTGTTGTGCTTGTGTTTTCTATTTTCTCACTAGGCCAAATTGAAAAAAAAAAAAAGAAAAAAGAAAAAAAAGTGTAGATATAAGACAAAGTAAAAGAAGATGAAGATAAAGATAGATGGACCAATTCCAATAAAAAAAAAATTTGAAATTAATTGCATTGTTCAGGATCTAAACAACCATGCTGAACACTCCTCCAACCATCATTGGACTGTGGGTCAATCTTCCAAGTGTAGGAGCGTGATTTTGCACTTGATTTTACACACTATTTTTTGCGCTTTTGGTTTGCTTCCACAAAGAAAATTAGTGCTTGAATTTATTTTTTTTTAAATGCTCTACCAACCAATAATGTCAAGACCCACTTTCTCTCTTTAAAAAGTTGAAGACTCATAACTCTCTCAAGCTTCAACGCTTCTGACCGATTGACACTAGCACACGCCACCTCCATGAGCCACCGCTAGCCATCCAAACAGTACTTACCCTCATAACAACATAAAAAAATAATAAAACAAACCCATTTCCCTATCCCCATTCCCTGTCACAAAAATCTCTATAGCCTCTTTGTTTTGTGCTTCTTAATTCTTTCTTTTCTCCACTTTCCGATGAACACAACAGGCTAACAAAATCTCTTCTGTCTCCCATTATTCCTTTGCTTCCTTTATTCTCTGTTAATTTGTTGCACAGATCAAAACCATTCATAAACAAACAAATATCTATTTTTTTTTTATCGAGATAAACAAACAAAATAAACAGACAAATAATGATAGAATATGAATTATATAACCAAATTTAACAGAAAATATGATTTAATCTGGGTCTTTTCTGAATTTGGCTCGACTATTTTTATTTTTAATTTTTTTTCCCCCTGAATCTACATGAGGTTGAGCCATCTAGTTTTAGGCCTTGTTTAGGAGTGGCTATTTTAGCTAAAAAGCCAAAAAATTACTAAAAGTTGTCACATCACCTCTCTACTTTTCTGCACATCTTTTCGTAAAAAACCAAAAAATTACTAAAATAGTCTGTT